GAGAGAGAGAGAGAGAGAGAGAGAGATGGCTCAGTGGTTAAGAGCACTGACTGCTCTTCCAGAGGTCCTGAGTTCAATTCCCAGCACCCACATGGCTCATAACCATCTGTAATGGGATCTGATGCCCTCTTCTGGCCTGCAGGGATATATACCAGACCTCTGACAGGGCTGTTTAAATGCCAAGAGCCAAGGACTAAGACTGAATATTCACTTAACTACTTGCAGCTTACAAAAATGTAACCACCTTGAGTCTCCCTCAACCTACACATGAAACTGAAAGGAACCCACACAGCACACATTCACATTTGTTCTTCAAATGGCACAACCAAGGTTAAAACCATTATTTCACTCCATATGTAGACAATGTTCAACATTCATAAATATAGTTAATTTTTTTTTTTTTCTTTAAGGCAAGGTTTCTCCTTGTAGCCCTGGCTGTCCTGGAACTTGCTCTGCAGACCAGGCTGTCCTTTGCCTCTCCAGCGCTGGGATTAAAGGCATGCGCCACCACCTCCTGGCTGTTTTGATTTTCTTAACAAGCCTTTTTTGATAATGGTTGTTTCAACGCATAAAATTCGATGAAGAATATCCCTGTATTGTCAAAGATCCTAAATTCGAAGGAAAAACATCCCTTCGAATAAAGCAGATAATTAAAATGCACAAGCAATTTGAGATAAGAATACACACAAACAGGGGCCGACCGCCTAAGGCCGGGGACACACAGCTCAGTAGGACTTGCCCAGCAGGCCACGTCTCAGAAAACAAAACAACCGCTATATGTCACCCCTGAACTTAAACCCAACGAGCATTGAAAGAAAAAAAAAAATCAGTGATCTACAAAATGAAGTCTAATTCACCAACGTTATTTTCTATTTGAAATAATAAACGATCGGACGGCTCGGCCGCGGAAACAGCCGCGCGTCTACCGACCAGGGCAAACCAATCCTAACAAGGATACCGCCCCTCTCCGGCTGCCTTCAGAAACCCGTTCGAGCCCCCACGAAACAGCAGCCCGCAGAGCGGAGGGCCCAGGCCGCAGCCGCCCTGCGGGAGCAGGCGGCACCAGGGGCGTCGGTGCCCCGGTCCGGGTACCGGCCTCGGAGCGCCCTGGCAGGCTGCAGCTCCGCCATGCCCACGCCCGCCCGCCGCGACCCCGGGCTCGACCAAGGTGGGCGCAGCACACCCGAGCGCTTACCCTCCGTTGAAGGCATACGGTGAGAACCGCAGCTGCACAGGGCCGGCGGAGCCGTGAGGCCCCATTGCCAGCTCTCGGTCGGGGTCCCTGTGAGCAGCCGTGGAAAGCATCGCGCCGAACTCCTGCTGTCTCACGGCAAAATGGCCGCCGGGGCAGGTCCACTTCCGTCCCCCGCCCCGCCCCGCCCCGCCCCGCCCACCGGGCTCCTCTAGCCCGCCCTCGTCGTTGCTCCGGGAGGTCTGCGCCGAAGTCCCGCCGCATCCTGGATCCGCCAATTCCAGCAGACCTGTTTTTCCAACCTCAAGGAAACATTTGGATTCACTCATGGCGAATCAAAAGTTAAAAGTCTGACCATCCCCCAAAATGAACCCAATTACAGAGCAACGACAGCTCGAATGGTCATATTGGTGATGTGCTGCAGCATTTGAGAAGGATTAGCAGCCCCTGCTGCGTTCGGGGCCTGACGGTCAGGATGAGCGGTCAGCTGTGTGGTATATGCAGCCACGCGACCCAGGAAGCAATACTAGGTTTCCCTAGCCAGAACCTACCTGATGGTTAGTATTAACTTGACAGAATCTGGAACCACCTAGTAAAAAACCTGGGGGCATATTTATACAGGTTATTTCAGGATGGTTTAACTGAGATGGGAAGACCCAACCTGAATATAGGCGGTACCATCTCACGACCTGGCTTTCTGGACTAAATAAAAAAGAAGCAAACTAACATTCATCTGTTTAGGCTTCCGATCCGCGGATGCAGTGTGACTCCCGCTTCTCCAGGCGTCGTGATTTCCCATGATGGACTGTATGTCCTCAAGCTGTAAGCCAGAATGAACCCTCCTTCACTTAGGTTGCCTCGTGTCAGGCCTTTGTTAAATTTTCTTAATTTCCTAAATCTTATGAGGTTCCCTGTCCTCCAGGAGAGGATGTTTCATTTAGGAGAAAATAGCTACATAATACTATTGTACTTATTAGAGTCCATACATAGGTCAACACCTTATACACACAACACACACAGGTACTGTCCATCACACACACAGAGCTAACCTAAAAGAGCTCGTTACTTCGATGATAGTGCAAAATACAAGGGAAAGAAAGTAAGAACAATACATGTATCTGCCTAGATAAACCACAGAAGGAAGAAATCAAGATATGCTGGAATTCAATCAAGCATTAAGAAGCAGCGTAAGAAAAAAATGTAAATGAATTTGTGACTACAACACCGCCTGTTTTGTTGTCCTTCTTTGGACATGAGTTAACTTTCACTGGGAACATGATAAGGAGTATCTGTTTGCCATTCACATTACGGATTGCACAAAGCTCTAAACTTACATTCCACTTTACGGAACTAAGCGGAGGAGGCTGTGATCTTGCCAAGGGTAACACTGTGAGTTTAAAAACATGTTAGACTAGCAGGGCGTGGTAGCCCAAGCCTTTAATCCCAGCACTCCGGAGACAGAGGGGCAGAGGGGCAGAAGCAAGCCGATCTTCGAGTTCGAGGCCAGCCTTTTCTACAGAGTGAGTACCAGGACAGCCAGGGCTACCCAGAGAAACTCTTTCTCAAACAAGCAAGCAAGCAAGCAAATAAACAAAAGAATAGAAGACAGGATGTAGCTCAGTGGTAGAATGCTTGCTTGAGTTTGATCGATTACCACATCCCCATCTGTTACCGCCACACACTCCACACCGCTCTGGCTTTGGACAAGAACCAGCTAAAAAGGGTTGCCGAAGGGCCCCGCCCCGGAACTTCTGGGGAGCTCCGCCCCCTCGTTTCCCAGGCCGGGCCCCAGTCAAGAGCGCAACTGGCGGAAGTGACGACATCAGATGTGCGTCAGGCTCCGGTGGGGTCGAGTCCGGTAGCGGTGGCGGGTACTTGCTGGCGGTTTGGCTAGGCTTCTGCGGTCGCGTCATTTTCCCCGCAGTGCCCAGGTAACGGTCATTCAGCCTTTTCTCTGCTGTGAGGGCCGTAGCGAAGGCGACCTCTGCAGCGGGTCCCCGCAGACGGCCGGAGCCGGCACGGCATGGGCGCGCGGCCGGGCGGGGAACGGTCCCCCGCGCGTGCTGCGGCGGCTCGGCGAGGACCGGCCGCTGGGCCACCACCGCTCCGGCGGGGTCCTAAGACCCAGTGCCAAGTGTGAGGGTCTCTGAGGGGCTGGCACCGGACAGCACCGCGCACCGCACACCTCAGCTGCTTCCCCCCTTTGGAAAAACAGTTTTTTTACCCGGGCCTGGGGCTGCTCGTCTTGTCCCCCTAGTTAGGATAGTTTTGTTCGGAAGCGGCTTTGAGACTGTTCACATCTCGTCAGAAGCACAGTAGAGATTAACATATAAACACGCGCTACTTGCTTTATTTACACGCTCTCCGTCTCCAGGCTCAGGTTAGCGTGGTTTCCCAAAACTCTTGGCAGGCTTTTCTGGGAAAAGATGCCGGACTGGGTTAGGACGCTTGAAGACTGCAGAACTGGTTTCTCAAATATTCAATTTGATGGCTCAGTTTCCAAAAGACGAAGACCCTGAACAACAGCCTAAGAATAAGTTAGTGTAGTGATTATTTCGGTTTTATGATACAGGTGAGGAAAGATGGTTTATATCGTCTGCAGGTGTGAGATGACCTCTGCATAGCATGCTACAAATTTGCGTCTTATATAATCAACCGCTTCGGTAAACTCATTTGACAAAGTGATCGGGATAAATCTCTGGCGATACTTTGGACGTTAAATCCAGCCTTTATTATCTTTGGGCTCAACTAAAGCAGAAACCCCTGAAATTGAATTTTCAGCCTTCAGTTTTCTCAGATTTATCTGCTCTTGACAAAGGAGGTACTCAAACTGCACTTTAAAATCCTTTAACTTAAAAATTCCATTGCCTGTGTAATAACATCTTACACTCTGAATTATATAACCCCACCCGCTGTTGTCATCTCTTGGAGTGCTTGTCACTAAGCCTGCTACTTACATACTGCATGCTCTTTTTGTCTCCCTTTCACTTGTATGTAGTGCTGATTTGTATGTTTTTGTTCCTCTTGCTAGACCTGTGTTAATTTGCTCCTGCTTTGTGGAAGATCTGGCCTCTCAAAAGGGTACGTAACTTTAGTTTTTTTTCTTGATTTTCTAAAGGATTTATGTATGTGAATGTTTTGCCTGTATGTCTGTGTACCACATGCATGCCCAGGGCCCATGGAGGACCAAAAAGCACTGGATTCCCTGGGACTGGATTTACAGCTAATTGTGAGCTGCTGTGTGGGTGGTAGGAATCAAATCTAGGCCTTCTGAGGAGCAGTAATGCTCTTAACTACTGAACATGTCTCCAGCCCCTTGACTGTAGCTTGTATTCTTTCTTCCATAGCATTCACTTATGATCATGTACTACATGCCAGGCCCATTCCTAGGTGCAAAGATTTTGAAGTCATGTATGCTGGTTTCAGCTTTCTTGCATCATGCCTTAGTAAATACCTGCAATTTTAGTGCTGGCTAGTTTTTTGCAGTTATATGTATATATTTTTTTATATTGGACTGTTTGATAAGGACTGTATCCTCTTTATCTTTGTATCTGGAGCACTTCTGTTACAGAATAATAAATACATTTTCTGATGATATCAGAAAAAGTGTAATTTTCTTGTAACCTTAGTATCTCTCACATAGCTCGTATCTCTAGGAAATAGGCATCTCTTCATTTTTTCAATAGTGAGTTTGTAGAATTATATTTTGGGTCCTTTGTCCTCTCAAAGTGATTATGAAATTCTTTCATTGATTTAGCTAACATGAGAATGCCTGTACCAGCATATACCTTTTTTTTTTTTGGGAAGATTTATTTATTATGTATTCAGTGTTCTGTCTGCATGTATGCCTGCATACACTAAGAGGGCACCAGATCCCATTGTAGACGTTTGTAAGCCACCATGTGATTACTGGGAATTGAACTCAGGACCTCTGGAAGAACAGCCAGTGCTCTTAACCTCTGAGCCATCTCTCCAGCCCACCAGCATATACTTAACATGACTGTGGATCTTTGAATATACGACTTGTAACTTTGAAGCCTGTATGTCCTGTGTGATATTAGATGATGATAAATGTTTAGAATAAGATCTGATTGTCAGGCTGGGGAGATAGCTCAGTGGTTAAGAGCACTTGCTGCTATTGTAGAGGACCTAGGTTTGGTTCCCAGCACTTACATGGTGGCTCACAACCATTTGAAACTCCAGTTGTAGGGAACCAAATACCCTCTTTCTGACCTCTGCAGGCACCACACATGTGATGCACATATATACATGCATACAAAACACTCATACACATAAGTGAAAATCTTCTTTAAAAAGATCTAATTGCAATAGCTAATATCTGTCCTGTGTGTACTATGTGTATATAGTTAGATTCACCCTGCTCCCCCGACAGGGTTTTCACTATGTAGCCCTGGCTGTCCTGGAACTTTCTCTGTGGGCTGCCACTACCTAACAGACTAATCTTGATTTGTTAGCTCATTCTGTCTGTTCATCCATTGTTGATTCCTTCAGTCCTTATGGCCTCTCTGAGCAAGTTATTGGTCTGCATGAACTGAACTGATTTTTAAAAAGTGTCTTTAAAGAATCGAGGATGGACATTTGCCTAGCATTTTTGAGGCTCTGGGTTCTATCACTACCATTACAAATTTAAAAAAAAAAAAAAAAAAAAAAAGCTCTTTTCATAGTCTCTTAATCCATAATCATATTGCATATCCCTGACCACTAAAGAGATGATAATGTAAGGAACCCATTTCCGCCAGGCGGTGGTAGTGGTCATGGCAGCAGTGGTGGCGATGCACACCTTTAATCCCAGCACTCAGAAGGCAGAGCCAGGCAGATCTCTGTGAGTTCGAGGTCAGCCTGGGCTACAGAGTAAGTTCCAGGAAAGGCACAAAGCTATATAGAGAAACCCTGTTTTTTTTTGGGGGGGGGCGCAGGCGGGGAGGACACTTCCAAGCATAGTTTTTATTAATGTGTTCTGAAGAGTTAAGAATATTGTATTTCTAAAATTATGTTTCATTGATTGTTAATCTGTCTTTAATTAAAATTAGAACACCAAAAAGTGATTACCTAAAGCATATTGTGTCAAGTTCATTATTTGTGACTTTTTATGCTTGAGACATTATAAAGAATATAAAACTGAGCAGAATATTTAAAAACCAGCATTGACCTAATAGTGCTATATAAACAGTGCTTAATAAGTGTTCTCCTCTGGTAGTACAGTTTGCTTAGGAATTAGTTTTCCCTAGGTGTTCCCCCATACAAAAAAAAAGTCCTTTTCTGGGGGTGATGGTGGTGGTGGGGTGTTCCAAAGGGCTGGTCCCTGATTCTCTTAGAAAAGACGACTCACAGGCTAAAAGCACTGCCTGCTTCTCCAGAGAACCCAGGTTGGAGCCATCTCTCCAGCCCTATAATTTGATCTTAATCTAAACATTTGTTATCATCTAATTTCACAAAAAAAAGTATACACATTTCAAAGTTACAAGTTGTATATCCAAAGACCCATTTTTATTTTAAGTATATATATGACCCTGTGGTGGCTCACAACCATCTGTTAACTCCATTTCCAGGGCATCTGACCCTTTCTTCTGGCCTCTGCCGGCACCAGGCATGCAAATGGTACGCAGGCAGGCATGCAGGCACAATACCCACACATATAAAATATAAAATAAGTCATGTTTATGCCTAGAGTCAACTAGTGAGAATCTGTTCTCTCCTTTCACCATGTGGGTGAACTTAGATTATCAGAATCGACAGCATATGCCTGTGCCTGCTGAGCCATTTCTTGGCAGCTCTTTTTCCAAGAGGTTTTATTACTGATCTTAACACCTTCATTTTCAGTACTGTTAGAATATTTAGAATATTTAAGAACATAGTAACATAGTTTTTGTTTTGTTGGCAGTTTTACATGAGTCACGGGAAACATGGACTAGGGATATATACATTTTCTCCAAGATAACTGGTGTGTGTGTATTTTGTATGAACATGAAACCTGTTTAAACTTAAAGCATTTTTTTCCAAGCACAGCATCACTGTTTTATGGTGTGTGAAGATAACCCAGAAAATAAAAGAAGTTTCTAAGGAGAATTTGCAGAGGATGCTCTAGATAAAATCCAAGTATCGAAGAAAGTGAGAATCATGGACCAGAACAACAGCCTCCCGCCCTATGCTCAGGGCTTGGCCTCCCCACAGGTAATAGAGCAGGAAGGAGGGGCAAGAAGGGCTGACATACTCCCTTTAAGAGAAAGTGAAAGACGGTAAACTTTAGCCATCCAGTATTTAACATGGATTTGTATATTTTTAAGCTTATTTACTTTGTGGAAATTTCTGCTTTAGGTAAGCATGATGCCCTTCTGCTTGGGGAGTCTGCTTGGGAGTTTATTTGGAACCTAATTTATTTAGAAGACTGTTCTATCTGTGTGAGCTGTGGAACAGTTATTCCATTTACTCCAGAAGGTTCTTTCTTGAACCTGTTGTTGTCACTTTTCTATCCTAAGATGACAACCAAATCTACGTTCAGAGTTCAAGATTAGTGTTGATGTAAAACGTGCATAGTTGCGATAGAATTAGACCTAGATTGTTACCAATTCAGTATAAATTTTGCCATCTTTTTTCTTCCTACTTCCACATAAATAATTATTAAATATAACAATGTAAGGCATAGAAGCATTATAGAAAAGGCAGTTAATAGTATTTTACAGGCTTTGTTGATTTTTTTTTTAGTAGAATAAATAGCTTATTCAAGTAGTATGATAGAGTAGGCCATGAGCTTGTCATCTTGAACCTCTAGGTGACTGTGATCCATCATCCAAATTGGTCACATGTTAAATTTGTGGGTCATCCTTGTATACTGCATAGCACTTTTCTTTTTTCTTTTTTTTTTTTTCCCCCCCAAGGGCTGAGGACCAAACCCAGGGCCTTGCACTAGGCAAGCGCTCTGCCACTGAGCTAAATCCCCAGCCCATGTGTAGCACTTTAAATAGGGACATGCACTTATGCTTTGTCCTTATGGTCTAGATGTGCTTGGGAGGCTAAACATTTGCATATCATAAATAACAGTCAGATTCCAGATGCTAAGCGCTCATCTACTAGGTTCAGTACTAGGGAGAAAAGTGATGCATCTCAGGATGCCAAATTCTTCCCTAGTATTTAATGACCTATTATATTCAGAAAGCACTAGGCTTTATACTTTACCTGGGTTCCAGTAGGAAAAAACCTGTATTACTCAACATTAATGTCTTATCATTCTCTTTGCTTTCCACAGGGTGCCATGACTCCTGGAATTCCCATCTTTAGTCCAATGATGCCTTATGGCACAGGACTTACTCCACAGCCTATTCAGAACACCAATAGTCTGTCTATTTTGGAAGAGCAACAGAGACAGCAGCAGCAACAGCAGCAGCAACAACAGCAGCAGCAGCAGGCAGTAGCAACTGCAGCAGCCTCAGTACAGCAGTCAACATCTCAGCAGTCCACACAGGGTGCCTCAGGCCAGACGCCACAGCTCTTCCATTCTCAGACTCTGACGACTGCACCCTTGCCAGGCACCACTCCCTTGTACCCTTCACCAATGACCCCTATGACCCCTATCACTCCTGCCACACCAGCTTCTGAGAGCTCTGGGATCGTACCACAGCTACAGTGAGTACCTCTTAGCCTGTGTGCTCTCGCTCCTCTTCCCCTGACTCTGTGTGTGTGTGTGTGTGTGTGTGTGCGCGCGCGCGCCCTCTCCTCTGACCCCTGCACCAGAGGCTCTCAGTGGTATTACATTAATTTGCTTTCAGACAGTGGATTTACTTAAAGAAGTGACTCTGGTAATTCTGTTACACTGTGGCTTCATCTGCTCTTGGCAAGGAATTGAAGCTACAGAATTGAGTCAGTGCTCTCAGCAAAACCTTTCCTTAGAAATGTGTGTTTATGTGTTTGGGCCACTGAAATGAAAACCGAGTTTTATCGATACTGTAGACATTTCTCTGTAGCTAATTGACTGAGTCACAGGCCAGTTGTATCACAGCCTTGGCCATAGTGTCAGCAGAGGTCTTAGGTCCAGGTTTTTCTACAGTTCTGCTATGAAGGCTGTATTTATATCTTTGGAGATTTGTGTCTCTCTTTCAAAGTGAGGATGGCAGTTCTTGTCTTGATGAATTGTTTTGCCTAAGTGAAATAGTTCCCACATGTAAAAAGGTAGGAGATATAGGCTTTTTTTCTTTCTTCCTGAAACAGCTCAAATCCAGATTCTACTTAGTAACAAGTGTGTAGCTTTACCTTAGGGAAGCGTATGGCCTGATTAAAGGATTCTAGAGAGGTAAGCCCTGTTAGCTCTCCTTTGTCTACAAACTAATGTTTTATGCCTATTTGACTTCCACAGACATTCTGTTTGTAATTCTGATTACATCTGTTAGAACCAGCTTAGGACATACACTTATTTCCATATCCATAGAGCATGCACTTGGGAGCCAGAGGCCAGAAGATCTCTGGGTTCAAAGCCTGGTTTAGAGAGTGGGTTCCAGGACAGCCAGGGCTGCACAAAGAAATCCTGTTTCGATATTTAAAAAAAAAAAAAAAAAAAAAGTACTGCATAGAATGCTTCAAGAATGGGACAGAGTGGCATGAGATAGTCTTTTAGACCCAGGTGAACGATGATAGATTTTGTGCATGTGTACAGGCACTTCCCTATGTATGCTGGAGGAGAATCTCAAGAGTCATTTCTCAGGACACTCACTACCCACCCTGGTTTTTAAGATGGGATGTTTTAACTGGCCTGAAATTTGCTGTTTTGGCTAAGCTGACTAGCCAGTGAGCCTTAGGGATCTGCCTGTCTCCATCTCTTTCGCACTAAAATTACAAGTGTGCATTATCACTCTGGGCTTTTTCCCGTGATTGAATTCTAGGGATTGAACTCAAGTGTTCATGATTGCATGGCAAGCTCTTTACAAGCTAAATTATCTCCTCAGCTGCTAAAGATGATTCTATTTAACATGATTTGCTGTGGTAAATAGCAGAAAAGAAGACATATTTTCTTCCCTTGCCAAAGACATTGAATTCCATTTTTCCAAAAGATAGCTTATTTGGGAAGACTGAGAAAGTCCACATCTGCCTGTTTTTCCTGTAGTGACTTAATAGTGAGCTAGTGTTAGTAGTATTTCAGAGCTCAGGAAGGAGGGGTGGTAGTTGAATGAAGCCGCAAGGTGTCCTGGCTCTTCCACTTGGGAGTCATGTGCATCCCAAGCCAAACACAGTCCATTCCCTAGAGTTTCAGATGCTTTGAACATGGGAGTGATAGTTAACACTGCAGGGTACATTTTGGGTACTGAGTGAAAATATCTGGTATGTGGCACTTTTTAAACATTTAAAATCAGCAGAGTTTTTTTGTTTTGTCATGTCATTTTTTTTTTTTAAATTAAAGCCTAGTGAAAAATAATGGATTAGCAATCTGAATCATGTTTTCTTTTCAGAAATATTGTATTCATAGCAAATCTTAGTTGTAAACTTAACCTAAAGACCATTGCCCTCTTTGTATAAAAGTTAAATATTTTAAGTAATTATGTTTTCAAATTTCTTGCAGAAACATTGTATCCACAGTGAATCTTGGATGTAAACTTGACCTAAAGACCATTGCGCTTCGTGCCCGAAATGCTGAATATAATCCCAAGGTTAGACCCATTTTCATGTATTTCAGACTGTATAAGATACAGAGAAAATTCTTCCTAAATGTTGTTGTTGAGAAGATTGTATTGCGCTTGTTTCTTGATACCAGCAAAATGAATGGTATCATGCTTATCTTGAATGTTAAGTGCCTAAGAAAAGTTCATTTTGGGACGTTTTCCTGTTTTTGCAGTATTGAAGTTTCAACCTAGGACCTCAGCCACACTAGGGTAGTGCTGTCTAAGCTACATCCTCAGTTCTTTTGCTTTGTTGTTTTGTTTTGTTTTTCAAGACAGGGTTTCTCTGTGTATAGCCCTGGCTGTCCTGGAACTTGTTCTGTAGACCAGGCTGGTGTTGAACTCACAGAGATCCGCCTGCCTCTGTCTCCCAAGTGCTGGGATTAAAGGCGTGCACCACCACTGCCCAGCTGCATCCTCAGTTCTTTAACTTGTGTTCTACTGAATACCTGCTATGTATATTTCCCTCTATATGTAGAAATTCATACATACACTCACATGGAGTTGGAAGACAGAATATTCCATTTATATCCTGAAGAATAGCTGGTGACATATTTGTGGTACCTACTTTAGTAATCCTGTGGGAGAATTAGGGATGGATTACATGGGTGGAGAAAGATTGGTCAATAGTTAATAATTGTTGGCTGTAAGTACAAGGAGTTTGTTATATGTTTTCCCACCTTTGTGTAACTTTGAAGTTTTTTTCTGATAGACAAGATCAGGTGTGTTCTGAGTGGTATGGCCACAGATGGCTTTTCTGGCAGAGAAATTGCAGGAGATTAGAGTGGGGCTTGGTGGTAGAGCACTGGCCTAGCAAGGCCAAAGACTTTTGTCTTATCAGATGTCTTAGTTACTGTTTTATTGCTATGAAAAGACACTATGACCGAAGCAACTCGTAGAAATGAAAGCATTTAATTTGGGGCTTGCTTACGGTTTTAGAGGGTTAGTCTGTGATCATCATGGCCAGAAACAGACAGGTGTGGTACTGAAGCAGTAGCTGAGAGCTTTACATTCTGATCAGAAGGCAGCAGGCAGAGGGGAGGAGAGAGGGGGGAGGGGGGAGGGGGGAGGGAGGAGGGGAAACACTTGTCTGGAGTGGGCTTTTGTGACCTCAGAGCCCACCCCATCAACATACTTCAGCAAGACCACACCTCTTAATCCTCCTAAATCTTTCTCAAATAGTTCTGTTCTTTGGTGACTAAGCATTCAAATATATGAGCCCATGGGGTCCATTTTCATTCAAGCCACAATACTGGAACTGGAGAAAAGAAAAAAAAATAAAGATTTGGGAGGAGGCAAAAAGCACCAATTTCTAAGATAACAGCCTAGTGTGTGTTAAAAGCTTTTTTTTTTTTTTTTTGGTTTTTTGAGACAGGGTTTTCTCTGTATAGCTTTGCGCCTTTCCTGGATCTCGCTCTGTAGACCAGGCTTGAACTCACAGAGATCTGCCTGGCTCTGCCTCCCGAGTGCTGGGATTAAAGGCGTGCGCCACCACCGCCCGGCAAGACTTTTTTACATACACCAATAGAAAATATTTTTTACATATGGAACATCTGTACTAACAGATGAATAGACACTTGTGAGGTCCAGATGGAGAGCTGCCTGGGTGCCTGGATGTTGCTTGAGAAGGCTAGGGTGAGAAGATTTACAGAAAGTTTCCTAAAGTGGGAAGCGTTTGTCACAGGGCCATCATGTACATGTAAACCTTTACCATGGAAACCAGTACCTCATATATTTCTTCTAATAAAGGAGAATAAGATGATTTTGTGACTATGTATACATGTGAGTGTGTATATGTGCAAGTGCATTTGCTTGTGAGCGCATGCAGAGGCCAGAAGAGTGCTGGATGTCCTCCTTAGTCACTCCCCACCATACTCATATCTTTATTGGTGTCTTTCCCTGAGCCTGAGCTCACATTTGGGGGGGGAGGGGGGCGGCTATCCAAGCTCCAGTGATCCTTCTGTCTTCAGTTCTGCAGAACCAGAGTTACAGGTGTGCATGGGATGTGACAAGGTTGTTACAGGGTGCTGCGGTCTGAACTCAGGTCCTCATGCTTGCACAAGTGCTCTTACCTGCTGACTCATCTCTCCAGCCCTGGAAATTAAGTTGTATAAATGAAAAAGAAAAAGGCGGCAACAGAAAGAACGTGGGACAGTTTTTAGAACATAGTCCGATAACCAGCAAGAGGCTAATCAGGCTTTTGTCCTTTTACAGTTTAATAGTCCCTTAATGGAGCACACAATTCTAGTGAAGTCTGCAGAAACCTTGACGTTTACCTTGCCTTAACCCTGTCTTAGTTTTGCCCTTTTTCTTTCGCCAGAGAATCTCAGTTCTCCCCCTTTATATACTTTCAGTGCAGGTTGTCCATGAGAGTTTCTGTTTTCCTCCTGTGGGAGTGCCTTATGTGTCCTCCTGTGAGCGTCCTCACCCTTTTCCTGTGACAGCTCCTTACATGGCCTCCTGTGAGAGAGCCTCATACTTCTGGTACTGATACTGGTAGTCAGAATCTGTGTCTTATGTTCCCAGGTTCTTGGCTTTTTATTCAAGGAATTGAAATAAAGGTCCACACAGATTGCAAACTAACAGTTCATTTATAGTCTTTAGTACAGATCAGAAAGATATGCTGTTAGGAGTAAGGGTGGGCCACATAAATGAGAAGGGACTCAAGGGTCCCTGATGACTGCCTGGGGCGCTATTTTATATGTTCTAAAGGAAAGAGGAGTTGGTTATTAGGGGTGTGTCTTTCTATTTGACAAATACATTCCACTTATGTAATATATCGACTATGAATGTCTCTTCCCATGATGCAACTGATTTTAATGATATGCATGGCCAGTTTTCTATGGGCATAAAATGATAATAGAGGATTCTCCCTAAAAGTTTACTCAGAGGACATAGCTTGCCTTATTGCACCAAAAATTTTCAAGCTGAATCAGGGAGCCCCCACCGCCCTCCCTGTCTTGTACTCGGCCATAACTGGAGTATGATTGAATAGATTCTGTTTGATCAAGAGAAGGAGAAACTTATTCCATTGTTTGAAGTGTGCTGTTTGTGTATGTCTGTACATGGGGGTCCTGGGTTTCTCGGTTGGAGAGGGCGGTATATGTATTGTTCATGCAGGTAAGGGTCTCAGGCTGCCAGGCACATTACTAGCAGTAGGGTGTATGCATAGCCCAAACCACGGGAGGTCCAGATTTCAAAACTGCTCACTATGCTCGCCTGCCTTGTGTTTCTGTCTGTAAAAGGGTTGCATACTTTATATTGTGATTTCACTTTTATGGCCTCAAGCGCAGATCCTTCTGTCTCCACCTCCTGAATGCTTGAATTAAAACTATGTCACTGTGCCCAGCTTTGTACTATGATTTCATTAGTTGTGTGTCATCTTGAAAGTGGAAACGTGACAGCATCTAGAGATTGAGTTAAAGAACCGTCCTAAATATAGGAAACATGTGGGACCTACTTCATAGCCAGTTTTTTAGTTGAGTATGAAGCTAACCAGAATATCAACTATAAAGAATCAAATGGGCCACTGGTCACTTCTAACTAACCAAGTTTTTGTTGTTATTTCTAATATTTACAACTGTAATATCTACTTGATGGATCATTCACCTCATTAAGATAGTAGCCTCATCTCTTCTAATTTTAGCTTGATGCCTACTTTGTCAGTTATTAGTACAGTTACCTCTGCCTGTTTTTTGTTTCCATTTGCTTATGTATCATTTTCCTTGCTTTCACTTTCAGTTTGCAAGTGTCTTTGCCATTGAGGTGTGTTTCTTGCAGGCAGCAAATGGTGGGATTAGAAAAACAACTAGTCCTTTGTCTTTTAATTGGATAGGTAAGACCATTTACATTTAGAGTTACTATTGAAAAATATCTATTTTCTGTAATTTTCTTGGTTGTTTTTCTGGTTGGCTTTCTCACCTTTCATCACTAGGAGTTAGTTGGTTTACTGAGTCTGACATGGTGGGTTCTTTCTTGGTTCTCATTTATTCATCTATTGCTCATAAAATTCTTATTCTTTCCTGAGCTCTCATGTCTGACTGTCTTCTCCTTTGTGTATAGCATTCCTTAAGTATTTTCTGCAGTACTGACTTTGGTACTACTGGATTGTTTAATTGGGCAAACTTGGAAAGTTCAAGAGAGTATAAAGGAGAACAATGTTAGAAAACAATAGAGAAAAGTCAAGAGATTTTTAAAAACTGCCCAATAAAGAAGAAATACCCCCCCCCAAAAAAGTAGATAAATGTAAGAAAGGGAATAAAAAATAAAAACATTTTAAAAGTTTTTAAATGCATTGATGGGAATATCTGGTATAGCCAAGAGAGTTTGACTCAGGACCTACAACACTCCAGCCTTCACCAGTGACAGAAACTATAATCAGTCAACCTGAGTGCACTTTTAATGCTTCTTCCTGACCATTTCAGCGGTTTGCTGCTGTCATCATGAGAATAAGAGAGCCACGGACAACTGCATTGATTTTCAGTTCTGGAAAAATGGTGTGCACAGGAGCCAAGAGGTATCCTTAAGGGATTCTTTGTTTCTGATGGATGTATTATGAAAGAAAAAAGGACATGGTTTATATTATCAGGCTAGCACTTTGTTTTAAGGCAGGGTTTCTCTGTGTAACCGCCCTGGATTTCCTGGAACTCACTCTATAGACCAACCTGGCTTTGAACTAAAAAAAAAAGTCCATCTGCCTCTGCCTCTGGAGTGATGGAATTAAAGGGATGAGCCACTACCACCCAGCTGGACTAGCACTTTTTGTTTTTTTCGAGACAGGGTTTCTCTGTGTAGTTTTGGTGCCTGTTCTGGATCTCGCTCTGTAGCCCAGGCTGGCCTCAAACTCACAGAGATCCACCTGGCTCTGCCTCCCAAGAGCCGGGATCAAAGGTGTGCGCCACCACCGCCCAGCTGGACTAGTACTTTAATTTAATTTTATTTTATTTTTGCCAAATGCCGTTTATTGAAGGAAGGAGAAGCTCTTAAATACAGGCTTACAGCACAATGGGAGAACCCCAGAAGGCAGAAGTTTGCAACTGATGTTTTACAATCTTGCATCTAAGCTGTTAACTCCCATTATGCAGGATACACAGACAAGGAACTTCCCTTAAGCATTCAGGAGGGTGGAAACCGGCAGGGAATTAGCATAGAGAGGATATCAAGGTCAGCAAGCAAGGCAACAGTTACCCAAAATGGGGGGGGGGGGGCTATAGGTCCCCCTTTTACTAGAAAATGAGCTTCTGACTTAGGTTGGACTAGCACTTTTAGCGTGTTCTTTTTAATGAGTTATCTTAATCACCTTGAATAGCATCGGTGCCCCACTTATCATTTTTGTTACCCTGCTGTCCTGTACATTGGTTGTAGCATTGTATTTGTATCCTGCTTTTCAGATGAAAGCTTCCTAAGTTGGAAAGTCACAGTTTTGTCCAATAATGGTATCCTAAGAATAGATATTTGATGTAAAGGAAGATAGAATTTGTGTATTTGTCAATAGTAAATTTTACTAGTGTTTTTGTAATTTAGGTTTTGTTTTGGTTTTTTTTTTTTTTTTTTTTCTTTCAAGATAGGGTTTCTCTGTGTAGCCCTGGCTGTCCTGGAACACACTCTGTAGACCAGGCTGGCCTTGAACTCAGAGATCCACCTGCCTCTGCCTCCTATGTGCTGAGATTAAAGGTATGCACCACCACCATCTGGCCTTAGTAATTTTTTTTTTATGGTTTTAGAGAGTTTTCATCTCAGTAGAAATTTGTGGGTCAGAATGTAGCAGTAATAGCAGTGATCATGATAATTGAACCATATGCTACATCATATCTTTTAAACCTAGGGCTTGTCAATAATGTGGCAAGTCCAAGGCTGATGTTTTGGTAGATTATGGTTTTTGTTAAGGACTCAGGGATAGTTTAATTACTTTTCTAATTTAGACTTCATTTAAGTTATTCTTCTAAATTATTCCATTGGGCTCCCATACATAACTCACTGTTTTTCCTTTCTGTAGTGAAGAACAATCCAGACTAGCAGCAAGAAAATACGCTAGAGTTGTGCAGAAGTTGGGCTTTCCAGCTAAGTTCTTAGACTTCAAGATCCAAAACATGGTGGGGAGCTGTGATGTGAAGTTCCCCATAAGGCTGGAAGGCCTTGTGCTGACCCACCAGCAGTTCAGTAGGTAGGTCTGAGGGTTATTGGAATCAGTTTTAGCAACAATCCATTTATAATCTACTCAGGCATCATCTAGGGTGAAGTACATTTAAGACATTCAGTTTCTAGGCATATGATGTAGTTGCAAGTTGAGTGTGCTACTTGTAAGCATAAGGCATCTGCAGTTGTACTGCAGTTCTCCAATCCTTACAACTCCCATTTCCTTAGTCACTTAGTGACTCCCGAACTCCCCTTCAATGGAATGGCTTATATTCATTCACTTCTGTATGCCTTATCATTTTGTTAGTCAATAAATACATTTAAACACATGAATTTGTAGTTTCTTCTACCACTTTTCTCCTGGTTTGAATCTTTTTTTGTCAACATACCAGCAAAGTATAAATATAAGCAGCAGGGATATGCTGTCCATTATTATTCTTTGCCATTTTCTGGTGAACATTTGCATAGTTTCCCTACTCAAAGCCTTATCTCAGTATCTTTTTTTCTATTTGCAGCCTCACCAGCTTACCAGTTCCCTCACACTCACCATATTCTTCTTGCTTCAGGGCCTTTGCACATGGCACTTTGATACCTGGCATATTAGGTTCAGTTTTCAACATAGGAATTCCTGTTTGAGTTTCAGATATTCACTCAATGTTGCTCTTCCTCATATAGATCTTTCCTGGGTTTATCTACCAGTCACATATAAGATAGACAGGTCCTTTTATCAGATTGAACTAATAAACCCAAAATCACTAGGTTAGAATTTCACTAACTAATGTTAGTTCAGGTAGACAGTGTGATCAAGAAGTAGGTTCATTTCCATATTTGGTTTATCATTCTGGTTAAGTCACCCTGCTAGAAAAACTGACAGCTCCAGAATATTTCTATTTGGGGAGATGAGATATGATTACAAGGCTGACTGTCAGTACCAGCTCTTAGAGTGAATGGTGAGATTAAGCTGCTATTCCGAGACTTGCCCAAAATAAATCTAATGAGGATCAGAAAACGTGAATTACAGCTCTTGTTTTTAGTCACAGAAAATGTAGATTCTGTGAAGACAGCATTAAGTGATAGGAGGACATGTAGTTTGTTGCCATGTCCATGACACATGGCTCTTGTTTGGTGAAAGTGTTTTCTTCTTGTGTGTCCTATTTGTTCACATCTGCTTATTCACTCACTACTTCCTAGCACAAGGCCTCACTGCTTTTACACAAAAAATGATGATTTCTAAACTCTTTCCCATTTTCTTTCTAGCTATGAGCCAGAATTATTTCCTGGATTAATCTACAGAATGATCAAACCCAGAATTGTTCTCCTTATTTTTGTTTCTGGAAAAGTTGTATTAACAGGTAAGTTAAAAGGGGAAGTAGTGCCCCAAAATTGGAAATAATTTTAGAATGGCATTTCTGGGTTGGGACAGTTGTCTACCCTTGTGAGGATGTTTTTGTTTACATTTTGCTTCCCATCCTAACCTTCATGAGAGAGGGGGAAGGATGAAAACAGCAGAGTCCTGCTACAGTTATGGCCTTTAGCTAGATTATGCTTGACTGTGGAAGCAGGTAAGGAGGGAACACTAATAAGTGACTGTTTTCAGTTGGCATTAGCCCCCTGGAACTTGGGGTTACTAGAGTACCATTCTGAGATAAGACAGAAGAGTCCCATTGAATGCC